TTCCCTCTGGGCGGCGCTGTTGCCTGAAATGCTGGCTGTTCCCTCTGGGCGGCCCATGCTGCATGGGGAGTGCAGGGCCCAAATGGCTGCTTGTGCCGCTTGCTCCCGCGCGGTGGCCCGGCTGAGCGGCGCAGAAGTCAGCTGAGTGCCACTGTGGAAGGGGAAAAGGGGCAGGGCGGGGATGTACATGCCCAGGGGGTGGGGCCTGGCCATGTACATTGGCACCTGGCCCCCCCTTTGCAGGGGCGGATGAGAGCTTTGCGGGACCCAGGGCAGCACAATTTCTCCGGGCCCCCCTTTGGAGAAAAAAATAGAAAAAAAGGCATCAAATGCATAATTTGAAGGCTATTTTCATATTAAATGTGAATTGGGTAAATTTGATAGAAACTTAATTTCGTTGGATAATTTTTATTCTAATTATATTGTAATTAATTTTTAAACAAAATTCTGCATTAATAAAAAGGGGAGAGATGTCCAAATGTTGAGCAAAAAAAGTGCCCTCCCCGCCCCCAAAAAATAATCATAGCACCTTTAAATCTCACACTCTCCATCCCCACCAGACATGGCAGGGCAAGAACATCCCAAGTGGCTTTCCAGCTGAGAAAAACTGAAAATACCAGACATTTTACTGGTCCGGTATTTTCTGGTTTTTTTTACCTGACAGAAGCCACAAATACTGGACTGTCAGGGCCAATACCAGACACCTGGCAACCCTAGTCCTAACTGGAGCCTGCATTTACAATAGGCCAAGGACGTAAATTGGGGGATTTTGGCCCCTTCCCCACTTCGGAAAAAGGTCATAATGGGGGGGGAGGGTTGTAAACTGGGCTGTTATAAAGCAGGGGCCTCCGGTATTTGTGGCAGGGGTGGGAAACCTCTCTTGGGTTAGGGGCCACTGACTCCACAGAAAAATCAGCTGGGGACTACACAAACGGGCTGGGGACCAGCAGGCCTGGAGCGGGTCTGGCCAGGGGTTTGGACTGTGCCCGAGGGCAGAGGACTGGGGTGCAGGGTCTGGGAGGAGGGCTATGTGGGTGCAGATATCGGAGTGGGAGTGGCTGGGAGGCCACTTACCTAGAAGCGCTGCTCGCCCGTTTCTCCCACAGGCCCTGCCTGGCCATGTGCTGGGGGATTAAAAGCCTGAGGGGAGCGGTGATTGGTGGGTTCCCGCAGCTGCCATTGTCCAGGTCCGTGAAACTCCCCTACACAAGAGAGAAGGATGATCAAACCCATTATCTATTTTTCTCCACTCTTTGTCCTAATTGCTTACCACATCAGATTCATCACTTCTGCATGTGAGAAGGGTGTCCAATGTCTTTGTCCAAAGCCAACTCTACAGACTGTGAAGTAGCCAACAGGAAAAAAAAAACCCTTTCCCTTACACAGTTCTTTGAACTATGCATGACAGGGTCAGGTCAGCGGGATACAGAAGAATGCTAGAAGCCCTAGAAGTACATGAGCCCTAGATTAAGTACGTCTCTGTTCCCTGGGTAAACTGACAGGGGCTGGCCTAGAACCAGCAGGAACTTTCCAGAAGCAGTCTGGAAGAATCAGGTCAGGTGACACCACCTGGAGCTAATTAGCAGTCTTCCAGAGCCAAGGCAATCAGGCTAATCAGACCACCTGTGGCCAATCAAGAACCAGTTCAGACTAGTTTAAAAGGGCTCCTCTTGTGTTAATTAGGAGGTGCAGGAGGAGGAAGAAAGGAGACAAAGTGTTGAGAGTGAAAGGAGTTTGGGTGAGAGCTGAGAGCTGCAAGGCAGGAGGAGCCTGTTGGAGGAGCAGGTACCAGAGGAAAAGTACTAGGAGGGACCGTTTGGGGAAGTGACCCAGGGAAGTAGTTGCCATATGGGGAGTAGAACAAACCCCATCTGTTACCACTGCCTTAGGGTCCCTGGGCCAGAACCCAGAGTTCTGGGCTGCCCCGGGTTCCTTCCCAACACTGCTATAGAGTCTGTGCCTGGATAGGGAGACCAGGAGTATAGAGGGAGTGTGGCTGGGAAGGCTGAGAGCCCTGACTCTAGTAACAAGAAAGAGGCCATGTGGTGGGACACAGCGAGTCTCTGAGGCTGAACGCTCAGCCAGAGCTTTTCCACACAGGATACTAAAGGATAAAAAGCTTTTCCTTCA